TTCAGCGTTTTAGGGGACCGTGGAGAACCTAACGGGTAACCGGGGCTCCGACGTCCGACGTCCAGGAGAAGGAACGGGGTGGTTTTTAGTCAGTAAGAGTCTGACACTCCCTCCCGCCTTACCCAGGCGGGAGGGAGTGTCAGATGATTTTCCCCCTTAAAAAAAAATACTTTACTTATTAATCCTAATATTTTGTTATTGGAAACATGTATTATTAAGGAAGTATAGCTATTATTACATTTAGATACATATGTGTTTTAGACAATTGAGTCTGTTTATTTGCCACAGATGTTATCTTAATTTCATAACTACGAACTAGATAGTGTACAAGATATAATAGATACTTAGTGTATTACACAATAACACAATTATTATTATCATCTGTTTCACTAGGGTAATAAGTACAATAATATCATTATTTTACATAACTTTCAATAAGCTTAGTCTTCATTACTTGTATTAAGATTATTTGCCTTTTGATAGTGGCCGTAGATATTATACCACACATAACTTATTTTGATTATATTATTTTTAATGAACTTTAACAAAAAATAACATAACATAATGCACATTACGGCACTTAATGCCACTATACAATGTAACACCCAATTTTCACTTTTTATGTTATGAGCCCCATGTAATAGGGGGTGAGCCTATTACCACATACCGGGCACATTTCCAGACTCCGTGCTACTACTGAGATTTTTAAAACCCCGTAATACTTTTCCCGACCCGGGAATCGAACCCAAGACCCTCTCGCACTTGCGACCACTCGGCCAACGAGGAGTCTTCTTTTGTTTATGTTAACGAACTTTAAGATATATTTTATACCTTTCTGAACCTTAGATTATACAGTTCTGTTTGATTTAATTATTTTTTGACCTCGTTCTATCCTGAATTCAGGTTTTGCATAAGACCTACTTAGATAATTAATTCGTTCAAAGTTTCCTTTATGTTTGAACTAATCATTCCATGCACCTTTTTGTTCAACACATACATTGTACAAAGCTATAATTAGTTCTAAGGTATTTTTAAAACGCAACCATTGACCTTGCATGCAAATAATTGTACAAGTTGGATGATAAAGGCTGATTACGAAACGAATGCCCCTGTCTTACTGGATTGTTTATATTTAATTAATTCGTTAGGCATATCGTGTACACATGTATGTGTACCTACCTACGTATGTATGTAGGCCCAGTTGTAGGTGGAAAATAATAATGGTTCCGAAAAACAAATTAATCTCCAGCGATCTGTGGCCGACTATAAAAATGGATCTTCGAATAACAAAACTAAACTTCCGAATAGAATATTGAACCTCCGACAAAATTGCTAAGTTACCGACAACAGACGTTTTAGGTTAGGTTAGATTAGTATTGTAGCAATAAACAGTCATGTGAAGTAGTCGGAAAGTTAGTATTTTAGGCAGTAGATTTAATATTTTCAGTAAGGACAATTCTTCATTTCTTGTCGGAGCTTTTATTACTACCTACCCGTTGTAGGTTTGCAAAGACATCAAAACTAATGCACAACTAAGTGATTTGATTGATTTATATGGTTGATGCGCAAATACCCTTAACCGACGAGCATGCATGAAAAGATTGATGAAGCGAAAGAGTTATGTAGGAATCGTAGTAATTGGCATTCCATAGTCTCTGCCTACCCCCACGGGAGACAGGGGTGAAGTTATGTATCTATGTGTGTATGCCCGAATACTGAAACGCCACCTAATTCTAAGTAAGAGATGGCATGATATTGAAGGACAACTTAAACTTGAGTAACCTTTCAGTATTCGGGTGTTAGAGAAGAGACCAAGACGAGGCAAGTAGAACGAAACCTCTTCGGTGAAAAGAAAGAGAATGAGTTTATAACATAACATCACAGCACGCCTTTTATCCCAGAAGAGGTACCGTACAATGTAACACCCACTTTTCACTATTTATGTTATGAGTCCCATGTAATAGGGGGTGAGCCTATTGCCATATACCGGCCACAATTCCAGACTCTGTGCTACTACTTAGAATCGGTCAATGAGTTTATATGGTTGTAATATAACACTAGTGGTACAAATATAGTCGGTATCGAAATATCTGTTGTGATAACAGTTGACCGTTGAATAGCCACAGAGACGTCGCTTTGTTATTTATTATACTGATTACATTTCGTTCAATATTATTCAGATCAATGGATATTCAATTTAAAAATGCGTCAGTAATTTAATTATGACGATTTATCAGTTCATAAACAGACCTCTGGTGTTTCATTAGGTTCCAAAAAAGGAAATTTATAGAGATGACTGATAACGGAAAGTGGTTACTGGTTACATATATATATATACTAGCGACCCGCCCCGGCTTCGCACGGGTGCAATATGCATGTATTATACATACAAACCTTCCTTAAGAATCACTCTATCTATTAAAAAAAACCGCATCAAAATCCGTTGCGTAGTTTTAAAGATCTAAGCATACATACGGACATACAGCGAAAGCGACTTTGTTTTATACTATGTATTGATAACTACATACAGTCATACACCTATATATATATTCATTAATGAAATCGTTTTATTGCATAAGGTGAGCACTAGTTTACAATTAGACGTTATTAAATATAATAGCCGAGAGATTAGGCAATGGTCATGCCGCGATGGTGTGGCTACCATACGTGCCAACTATGAGAGTTGCAACTGCAATCAGTCGCTAACCGGTCACTTGCTGGCTTAAGCAATCAATCTTAACACTGACGCTTTTGGCGATCACTGTGCTTACGTACTTATTAGTAAACATCACCTAATATGATGAGGTAGAGTGTTTGTTGATGCTAACCCTGTCATCGACTGCGACTTTTGTCATTGAGCACTTCCTCAGGGTATCAAGAATTAATCACTTGTTTCATAAATGTCTCCCAAAATCTTCGACCAATGGTAAGATTCAAGATCGATGCCGAAATAGGGTAGTTTCCTAAATTTTATTTTAATGTCCATCTGGTAGAATAATTTAAAACTTTAGATACGTATTTTACCTTTTCTCACCAAATTAAATACTTTCGACGATATATTAATTTGAAATATCGTGTGACGTCACAGCGTGGCACATTTTGTAGCACGTTATGCCGTAACGACCTCCCACTCCTAAACTTAGCGCCATTTTATCTAACTTATTGCAACTTAATACGAGAAAATAAAAAAATACGTCTCTAATATTTTTTTATTATCTAAGTGACGGACTAATTACGTAGATTTTTAATTTTGATACCCTGGAAACTACCCAATTCTAGACAGTAAAAAATCAAAATAGCAAAGCTAACGATAGTATTCTATTGGGCAATATTTAAGTAACATTTTTCAAGAAATTGTTGACCGTGAAGTCGGATAAATATACAGTTGCAGCTCTCAAATTGCAGTAATTTGGGGTTTAAATCAAACGCTAAAAATGACCGAGACTTGCGTGTCTTATCCATATTATCTTAATATCAGTTATTTTCTACATCGACAATGTAGGATACCTAATACGTAGGTATTCTAAGAACATTGACGCACATGCATTTTATTCTTTCGAGCGACCGATTTTTGTGTGCGCGGCGCCAAATAAATTAATAGACAATTGATTACGCGCAGTTTGTATGAGCCGCGTGTGTGAGCACTCCCATTCATCAAGTTGTTACGTGATTTACATAATACGCTTCACTTTGTACTTACTTAGGTATTCTCCTAACATGTATTAAAGTAACCTGCTGTCTTTCTGTCCACTCCCGGCAATAAATTACTCGCTGCAAATTTTCATCATTCAATTGTTGGCAATAACCATATTTTGCAAATTATTAGGGAAATGAGTGCCATTGTGTTGCACGAATGATATGATATAATATGATGATTGTAGTATATAGCCAAGTATTTATTCAATTATTATGATGACAAGCTTAGATTGTAGGAATCAAGCAAAATAATAGTCGATACATATTTCGTATTTTAACAAACTTCTTCATATTTTAAGGTCATTCATTGTGTATGCTGAATGCTATAATGTTAATAAATAAAATAATTGTTTATAAGAATGACATGGAGACGACTGCCACAGTGTTTCATATTAATTTCTGTAGGTCGTGCCTGCCTTATATCTATTATATTAGTAAAATTAATTATAAAATAAAATAATTCTATGCTTAATATAATAATGATTCATACTATAAAAAATGGATAAGTACTTCCTTGTTAAAGTTAATTGATAAAATAATTTTAGTTTAGCTATAATTGGTATTAAGCACGCGATACTGGCAGCACCAAACGAGCTAAGTAGATCCAGGCTGCGGACGGACAGACGGGCAAATTATACGAACATGTCTCGCTTAGCTCTACATAATTATATGATTATATATTTTCTCTTCTAAGCAAAAGTTTCTCGCCGGGAAGCACGGTGCATAGATAAACTTATGCATAAATTAAATGCGTGGAAAACTTGCTACGAACTCGATTTCTTCGCGAACTTGTCTCTTTCATGCTAGTTCTAATCTAGATTTTGTTGTAAAGGTAATTAGGTACATTAGGTCTTAACACTTTATTTGCTTTAAATTGATTGTGTCTTGTGATTAATAAATGATTCGATTCCTGTTCTTGAGAGATTTTATCTTACTATGGAACTCTAAGCTTGCATATACGACGGTATTTTCTAATTACATATAATTACTTATATTATTACGTACTTTTAGCATCGAAGGTGGTTCCTCGGGTTCTGTAATCCCAATTGCATGCAAAGCTCTGCCATAGCAGTGAGGTTTTTGAAGAAAACTAGTAGATGTTTATTATTTAGTAACATAACTACTGATCAGAGTATTACTTATAATCTACATGTCAGAGTTCTCACGTGTATATGAATAAATTGTAACCAATTAATTATTATCTAAGTATTTAAGTACATAATATAAATAAACGGCACAGTGACCTAATGATCAACTAGGTTTCATATCGTAATTCGTAATACTAATAATTATTTTTTCTCCAGATGCGTCGTGTTGCGGAGTTCAAGCGCGACAATGCGTCACTGCTGGACAATTTACTGCCTGAACAAGAGCAGACCGCTTTCCTTGACCATAAGGTCGTCAACGTCCTGAAGGGCCGCGACCATAAGGGAAGAAGAGTCCTAATTGTCAGTGTTGGAGGTGAGAACTTTATACGACAGCCGTACTTTTTGCTAACAAACCAGTCGAAACTGATTTTTACTCTGGGACTATTTTGACTCTGGTAGTAACTACACTCGGGAGCAATAAATCGGAGCCACAAGCGAATTTATTTTTGAAAATTGTTTTGTTGTGATACAATTATATTAATAATTGGTAACGTATGTCGTACAAAAGGCAATTTTAGAATTTAAAATGAAAGCATTTTGTTGTAAAATGTTTGGGTTCGGTAAAATGAAAAAAAAAACGCTAGTGGCTCCATTTCGTTGCTCCCAAGTGTAGACCACTGTTACCAATCGTAGGAAATTATGCAAACAAACAAATCAGACAGAGACCTTTGACCCTAATGAGTAATGCTCGTTCTTAGCCGTCCAGAGGTCACTTACTTATACTGGAACGCACTTCAATACTAATTTCCTTAATAAATATTTAGATTTAAACAAAAATATGCGATATGTGATTGCGACGTTATATGTCTGAATAACATTTGTTTAAAAACAAGATAACGTATTGTAAATAACAGTTCTATGTAAACATTTGTCAGTGTTCGATGGAAATATAGAATTTCTAGATATCGATCGATCAAAATAGTAGATAGCGACAGTACTAAAAAGACGTGATTGACTCTCATTGAGTCTTTGTCCTACATAACAACAATAGAGATACTATGTATGTAGGTACATATACATAATGATCAATATCTCACAGTTCTCGAGACAATACGTAAGCGATAAGTTCTATAAGAACACTTTCTACTTTTGAGATGAAGAGACTCTATTATAGAAATCAATAGTACGTAGAATAAACACGTTTTGTGGTAATAGGACGCATTTCGTTCGACGATTTGATTTGACGCCTTAGGGCACCGCAGCACACCGGGCACTCTTTCAAATTTCATGCTATTGGAGTACTGCTAACTGGGAATACCGAAATCGATATCCGAAATATCATTTTAAGTATCATAAACAATGCAGACAGTATTATGAAGTAGGTACATGTATAAGGATAATAATTATGCAATCATAAAAATATTATTGTTACTAAAGCCTTTGCAGAATTTATTAAGTACAAACTTTTCCTGTTCGTACTATCAGTATTGAGTTTGATTTTTTATTGGTTTTGATGATAATAATAAAGTAGTATATACATATTCTTCCTTGGATAGTGTACTAGATTTTGAGATTATGGGTGGTATTTGATCCTAACTGGATTTTGTCACTGTTGTAAATATTATATAAGCATTTGCTACATTTTTGCCCCACTATTCAGTTATGTAGTAGCCGCAAAGCAGTTAAATAATGGGATTGCTCTGAAGCGATAGCTACGTAATTTCGTATTCGATGCGTATACGCAATATGCATAAACAGTGACAGTTACTCTAGTGTCCCGCATACAAAACATTACGAAAACCCATTCTCTCCAGCTGACATATAGCACAAGAGGCAGCCATGATCATTAGCTACTTAAATACAGAATACTTAACACTGTTTCGGCCATAATACTAAGATTTCTTTATATAAATAATGTTTTAACAATAGCTGTGTCGTAATACGTAATTGTTATTGGAATCGTACATATTTTTACTTAGATACTAATTCGACTATAACTTATCTCGAATAATAGAGAGCTAATGAAATATTTTCTCTTATCAGGTTCATGGGACCCAAAGAAGGTGAATGCTGACCAGCTGTTCAGGCTGTTCTATTTGATCCACGAGGCGGCTATGTTGGAGCCAGAGTCACAAGTTAGAGGAACCGTTGTCATCATGGACTTCCACAACATGGGGTGGACACAGGTCAGTAACTTTGTTTATGAACAATTTCTTCTAAGGAAGAATTTCTTCTAAGGAAGAAATTGTAACCCTTTTTGGACATAGGTAATTATTGATGCTGAGTTATATTTATTTCATTGTTGAAATTCCATATCTATTTCAACTAACAAATTCGTGTCATAACGACCTTCAGTAACGAAATTAATTACTTGTTACATTAAAATTTTTCAAAACATCAAATTCTAAATCTACATTTGCATTTCAATTCTTTATTTTGAAAGCCAAAAATAGCAATATACGCATTAAATGAAGTCAATTAAACTCTATGTTGTGTTATATGAATTTTAATTAGTTTACAAAGGTTTCAAAAGTAAAGCAATTTACTAATTTAATATACGATGTTTATTTACTAATGTTGGCGCAATTACGTCGTATATCTATATACTTATTCAGTTGTTATTTCAAGCAGTGTTGTACATACATTTGAGTGATGTGATAATTGCAAGAAACAAATTAAAATAGTTACCCATACTCATAATTATCGCACATCTTTCGTGGGTACAAGCGTGAAATGTCGACTTTTTCATGATGAAACAATACTTATTTCGTTATTTGTGCCAACAAAATTGTCATGTCGTCATAATCATCCAACGATATATTTGCGAAAACTAGTTTCTAGTATAGTGCGCAGTTCTTACAAATATAGGTGACTCTTGTGCTTATTGTTATAAAGTTCAATGTAGTTTACACAATTGTTTTGGCACAGCCGGTCCTTTGGCTTCAGGACATTACCGATACAAATTATTGTAGGTCGTTGTTTCCAGTCTATGTTGTTTAGTGTGCAACTGTATATAATGGGCATTGTTTACATTACTGAAACGTAGAACCACTACACTACAATTTGCTTTACTTGCCTTTACACAAATACTACTTTAATTTTTAGAGACTTGTAAGTAGATTCTTATTCGATCGTTGTATTGTCACAGTCTTTTGTTTCCTTTTGGCAAAGAACCAAAAATATATTTTGTAGATTATCGTATCGATAACGTTTAACGTTATTTATAGTGTACTAAATGAAATAGGTGTTACACGCTCGAACGTAGAGATAATAGCCATACTCAATATCAGAGTTGGAAGTAGACGGATCACTTTCACTGCGCGTGCGCATGCTGATTTGAATGTATCGCAACGAAGTGACAGCGACAGAGCAGTGTTGGTCGGTGTCGTGATATACTATATTGCGTTGTCTTGTTTAGGTTTTTATTGATCATAGTTTTTTATAGACACTTATTCACATTTGCTAGGTACTAAATATTGTTAAAACCCTTGAACATGTAAGCAGAATAACAACAAACTACATCCATATTTATATTCAACTCCTTTAAACAAAGTTGTGATAAATTGAAAACGAGTTTTTTATTTAATTTTATTATCTGCATGGCGCCGGACATTGCACTCGGAGTGTAAATATTATTGTTTCTACAAGTGCATGTCTTGTCCACCGCGAGGATGAGTCAACCCCTAAAACAAAGTGTAGGTACCTAGCTCAAAGTACAATGTCCATGTAATATTATGAACAAAGAAAAGTGTGGAGTATGTCTTAGCGAACCGCTGTTCTCTGCATTGTTCATTTTATCTTTGTTTCCAATGCGCAGTCCTCACATTACCCACATAAAGATGTATTAATATAAAGTATTTATATTCGGCTTAACAACAACCTTCTCCACTTATAAATATTTTCTTGTGGTTTTATTAACACCGGCTCAAAGTCGAGCCATCACTTAGAACTTTAATAATATTGCATGCATCGCGGCAAACGGTGCGAATTTGATGTTTCAATAAACACGTTATTATTGCAATCAGTTTCTCACCTACGTTTTATTTGAATGGCTCTCGACTGTTAACAGTTTAACAAATTAGTCAAGTACTCAAGTACCATAAAGTCAGATTTTAAATGTTTCGATTTGATGACACATGTTGTGCAATTGTCTACGCTTGATGCTGGTGCCAACATCTATGGTGATTTAAGTAAATAATAACAAATACTGGACTGAATTTACTCGTACCTGTATTTATTTGTCTGTATGATATTATCATTCATCCTATAGGGAATGAACCATTAAATACCAAAGGGTCACGTCCTATTATAAAACTTTTTTCATCAGAGTCTATGCTTGGGAATTTAGAAATTGAAATAGGTACCCTTATATTACTTTGTTTTCCCAGTGATCAATCAATGAGTCATTTAAATAAATAATTGAAAAACGTTCTCATGGTCGCTATCTTTGTATTCATATGTTGATATACCTAGAATAATATTATGTGTCTACGTATATATTATTATGTATATTGGAATATAAACAAAACGTGTAATAGCCAACAGGTTACGACATCGACGTACTTCTAGATTGTACATAGTTCTAATTGTAAACATTGAACAGGATCTTGGATATCACTTGTATATCTTATCAATTACCTGTACATGTGTATACTAATCTGTCTTTGTGTAATAGATTAACAAACTTGCTTCGTTTTAAAGGATTATCAAATTGATTTCTTCCTTATCTGGGGATTAACGTTGCTATGCTAATGCAAATTTCTGAACGGAATTCATAATGTTGTAGTGATACAAATTAATTAATTACTTAGCTTATGCATTTTCCTTGATGTTCTGCTGAAACAACGATTGTCGGTTGTCGAATATGGGTGAGATTTTACAATCTGAACACGTTAAACAGTTTTCCACCTAGATAGGTATCTACATATATCTACTCTGCTGTACAAAAAGGCGGTGTTTTAGTAATGAAGTGAACAAATATTGAATTCCTTCCAATTTAACTTAAACTTAAAGGCCATTATCAGAAGGTCGGTTTGCACATGACAAATAAATGGTATCTTCCTTCCGGTTCTGCATTTAGGGCATAGATAGTCAACATTTAGTATTACCTCGAAGTGAGGAAGTATGTTAATCAATAAACACGATGAATGCCTTCTAGTCAGATCACGATCAGTCGGAAAGGTCGAAGCTGTTCGGTGTCCTGGCCAGGAGCTGTGAGATTAAGGTACTTAGCTCCCTGGTCACGTAGCCGGCGTCATGCTACTCAGAACATATTGATATCATTAAAATCGTGTGAATCGCCACTGCCGCGTTCTTTACACTGTTATTGTTAAGCCATGTATGGCGAAATTTAATTAATCTATGTTAATATTTGCGTACGTGGTCGTAGGTAGGATCGTCTGTTGCGTAGTTCCTCAATTCAAGTCCTGTTTTTAATCCTTGATAAAGTTATTAGTTATAATATACTGCAGCTTCAGTCTCGTTGTCCATTTTTTTGCATATCTTGTCCATGTCTTGGCCTTCACTGAAAAACGTGTATTACATATAATGTGTAATGTTGCAAAAGTTTGTTTGATTAATGAAATATAACAATGACTGAAACTGAAGCGTATTTTCAGGTTGTTTAGTTATAATAACAGTGGAAATGTCACGTGTGGTTACAGACGACGGTCGTACAAACAATAGCGTGTGATTCGTTAAGGTTATTTGAGGGAACTAATGTGGATTACTGGATGTAATTGTATGGAAATGTTAAGAAATTAGTCATCTTTGATTAATAAATTGGTCGCAGGAAAAACGTACTTCACCGTACTCGTTCAGGGTTTCATCTCAAGGGGCCTCACGTCCGAGGCTGCTGATCAAGTTGCAGATTGTAGAGCACGCATGAAGTCAAGATCTCGATACATCTTTGTACTGATTGATTTATATGACCTAGATCCGCGGAAAACTCGAAAATAAAGCTTAGTAAAGTCTGTTGTTGCATAAGTAATTAATAAAGTCTGTTTTCTGGATTGGTCTTATTATGAATAATTATGAGTATAATGACTTTCCAAATTAATTATGTTAAACAATCATTAATAATGCATAAGTGACAATATAAATTAATAATGATTCACGACTTTTTGTGGAAATTCAGTTAATTATTCAACAATAACATTGAAAGCGTCTTTGTTCAAAATGTTAACTTTGTTTTTATACGAATATATTTATTACGAAATATATTTATTAACGTTATTGATTTTCACAATCGCGTTTTATGTGAATTGTGAATGAAAAAGTAATGTGTTTTGTTTGAAATCACAAAGAGCAATGGACTATTCGTCATAACATTGGAATATTGAGTTTATATGTACTTAGCAATATCCTAGAAACCATTTAGGACTAGGTAAACACTCATAGCTAAACTCAAAACTAATATTTTAATTAAACATCCGTCCTTTGTGTCGATATGGAAGGAAATGGATTTTCCTTAACGTTTGTAAAGGACGATGGTAAATACAACATGGCCGTTTTGGTAAACATATAAGATAAACATAGCATATTGATACCGTGGCTGCACTTGTTGGATCTTCAACCTGATATCGACCTTTGTGGTTTATGGGAACCGCAGCTGGATTGTGATTTATTGAGATTCTAGGTAATTATGTAAATCTAAGTCCGTATTGATAGACTTATTTATTGAATTCTCCCGGGTGCTATTTCCCAATGTTCCTGATGAATGTATCGTATTGTTAGTCCAAATAAACCTTGCCCTAATTATGACAAACACGACGAAAAAGAACTACCGAGTTTGGTCCAATCATTCGACAGTTATGACGTTACAATGTTACATACATAGGTTTTGCAGGATTACTTTATAGCTCTAGTTGTGATCAGATTTTCAAAACTAAATTCGGTCAGGCCAGTCACATCAGGGCACACGACAGGAGAAGCTATTAAGGGTCGCCGTTAACGAAATCGGTAAGGAGGACTATACTATTGCAGGATTATTAATTTCAAGTCACCGGGGTTAATTACTTATTATGTCGAAACAGACTAAACTACAAACTGTTACTCATTTTAAATAGCCACATGGCCATAGTAGTTTATATTGTTATTGGAATCTTTATGAGGGCAATACCTAATATTACACATACGTGTGTAAAAATCGTGAAATAAAAAGTGTCTAGTAAAGCCTTGTGATTAATTAATCGTTAATACTAAATGACGAATGTAACTTTATGGCATTACACATTCCTGTAGTATTAAAGATTATCTTTAAATCCCTATACTTTACATAAATAGATAGCATTGTTATGAAATATTGATAATACTACAAAATTATGATTAATTTAATACAATATCTAGATAATAAATTTAAATATATAGGGGGCTATAAAGTAATTAATATTTTTTATTACGTTTTGTAATTTATTATCCTATATCAGTATTTCACGTGCGGCCTATACTTAGGTAGGTATTAAAATTAGGTTTCCGGGTTTTACCAACGCCTTTGTGTCACTTTATTGAAATTTGACTGATGATTCAAATTTTGTGTACCCAGGTACTTTTTTAAAGATTATATTATATAGCAGGTAGAAATAAAAATACACGTTTATATAATTACATATGTCTTTATTTTTATATTAGGTATCAAATACCGTTGTTTAATCACTATTTGCGTTACCTAATTAATTCTTATAAAGATGGTGTTTAGATTACATGTTATTTAATCCTGGCAGTGGCAAAGACTTTAGTATCTACTCATTAAAACTAATGAAGGTCATGTTTCCTGTATACTGCCTGATATAAATTTATTTGTTCAACGTCCACCTAATTTCAAGGAGTTAATAGGGAATCAAGTTACAAAACGGCTATTTAAGATCACTTTTAATTGATGCGTTAGATTGATTATACCTACTAAGATATAAAAGTTTATGACAATTGATTCTGCGTCTTTCCATATTATGTTCGAACTTCGTATCGGTGAAGTTACATTCTTCGTAGCGGCTGCTCTAACTCTAAAAATCCTTTACTTAATTACGTCACACGTTTTCGACACAACCTAATCTTCATAAGCGAAAACTTGGCTTCTGGCAGCTATAAATGTTTCAGAGCTGATCCCATACTCGGTAATTCCATGAGGCGAAGCAACGATAGACGCATACAAAATGTCTTATAGAGTGGCGATTGCGCGGATCACTGACCGACGTCACCCCAACACGGAACTGATGGTAGCCGACTCTTGCCAAGTGCCAGGGCGTAGGTTATCAAATCTATTCGGTCACTCACCCAATACCTTTGCCAAATGACGTCTAATCAACCCAATTATAATTACTCACTAAGATTTATTGTCTGTAAAACTTCCACAACTTATCGTTTACTTATTGACATAATAAGTTGAAAATATTAAGTAGAGCAGCTTATCAGGCGTTGTAGATGCAACGTCTATTAAGATATTGAGTTTTATGTTTAGATACAATAGGCTCGTTATGCAGCGATTACCATTGAAACAGCGTGGTAAGAATAATTTCTTGTGGTCGAGGTGGTTACAAGTGATACTGGTGGGCGGAGGTCAAGTGTTAATCATCCCGCTGGTATCCAGAAAGTTCACATTATTATGTAAAGAGAGCTGGATGAGTGTGATAAGACATATAACAGAATTCTGTTTAAAGATCCGATGACACATCATACTAGACACTTATCGACGATCTACCGCAGTTGGTCCATTACTCATGTCGATTATAGGTACTTTGGATATAGAGTGAATAGAATGAAGTCATTGACGATGCAAAAAATAGGTGTAATAGGGTCACTGCAGTCATAATCCACACGCACCTAATCGTCCTCTGTTGGACATGAGTTTCTCCCATGGCAGGATAACAAACTAGTCGCTTTGCACTATCTACACTCCAGCTAGGTAATCTCAAGCTGTTTGCTTTATCGTGATTCATAAACTTTAGTATTGTAATTAATAAAGATATTTCTATTAAGCAGATAGGTATATTAATCTTCTTATTTCTTTGTCAACAGACAATGGGTCTTACTCCAGCGTTCTCCAAGCGTCTCCTGACCTTCATCCAGGACGCTATGCCCCTTCGGCTGAAGGAGGTGCACTTCGTGAAGCAGCCCATGGTCTTCAACGTTGTTTGGAACATGTTTAAGCCTTTCATCAGGGAAAAGCTCAAGAACAGAGTATGTAGCTCATTGATGTTGAATATTTTTATAATGATAATTTTCCTTAAAAAGGTTATTTTTTATATGATCCTGTAATATTTTGCAAAAGAAGCCTCAATCTCTACTCGAAGTTTAAACAACTCTGATTTCTTAATCTTAAACAACATTAAAAATATGTTTACAAAGGAGGATTATTGACCCATTTCATTTACATAAATACAATAAAAGTTAAAGTTATTTAAAAACGAAATACAGAAATTCTGCACACCTAACAATAATTAATTTTTATTAATTTACATTAATGAGTAATTTTTATGGTGATGCTTGCCAGTGAACCCTTTGGAAGTGTAAACAAGCACATGCTAATTAGGACTTTGAAATTTTGACTGTTTTATTTGAATACTTGATACTTGCTAATAATGACTACTAAACAGCATTGTACCGCCATCTAGTGGGTAATAGACGAACTACAACTCGTTTATTATTAAATAATAATATTATTTTTGTAGTAATTTTATTTAATAATGGTCGTATGCAATGTTTTGCCAACACATATTTATGCTTTTTGCCTTAATTTCAGATTTTCTTCCACGGCTCGAAGATGTCATCTCTTCATAAGCACATGGCGGCGTCTCACTTGCCGTCTGACTACGGTGGCGAGCTGCCCGCCATCGACTACTCCGGCGCCGACTGGTACCCTGTCATCAACGACGTCTTGCCGCACATCAACAACTGGAACACCTATGGGTTCGCCAAGAACTCGTAGACAACTAGATTTAGCTTACTGCATTCCGTCGATGTGAATGAATTTCAGCTATTTAGTACAAGATATTTATGACTTCAGAATTTTCTGAGCCCATTGTAATTCATTCCTCCTACGGAATGCACTTTTACATTTATCACGTTTGGCAGTTTATACTATTCTCAATGTAACATAGTTTTAGAATTTTTTAAGACTTATACTGGAGTACGTGTTCGAATAGCCGTTGTTCTAAGTTCTGGCTTACAGTGGTGATAGGATAATTGTTAAATAATGCCATGTGCCCGAGCACCACTAGTATAACATAACTTGAGCTTTCCCATAATTGGGGTTCGATGTTATTAGGTATAGATATTACCAAAATTAGAAATAAAATATAGGAATTCAAAAAAGAAATTGAATGGTAGCTTAACATAGTTCCAAAACTGAAGAGTGTGAGTGAATGGGTAACAAAATATTATGTGATAAATATTGACAAGTAATATAATAGTTTAAATGTTAAGGTTAGGTTTACTGAACGACACAGGCTAGATAGCTACGGTTGAGGAATTAATCGCTAGTATGTTTGATCTAGGCAGGTTTTAGGTAATTACATGACTGTGCAACGACTGCAATGTTCGTGTGACTTTAGGATAATTGTTTCCATTGTATGTGTAAGAGATGTATTTGTATATTCAAATTTCCATGGGGATGTGAGCGAAGTTCATGACATGTACGTACGAACACTTTGTAGACATGGCGGTGTTTATTTATTTAGACGTAGGACAGGAACCATGTTCCCTTTGATTGTGCACAACTCGCATGTCGAGAAGGCTGTGACAATGATGACGTACGGTGCCAGTTCTGAACCATTTTATCACCAAATGTAGTATAACCTATTATAGTATGTTTAATACTATGTTATAGCGTTAAGTTACTCAAGACATTTAAAACAGTACATTTTCCATAATTTATTCAATTCGCACAATTGTGAGCGATATGTAATTTTTGCAAACTGATGGTCAATTTTAAAGGAAATCATTGATGTACCTAGTAGCATTTTGTCGCATTTAATTTGATTGCGAATGTGTCCAAATGTTGTTTTATAGTTCAAAGCAACGTTATCAAATATATTTCAATGATTACGTATCCTCAGTGGTTGTAGGGTTCTGTGTATAGCCTCTAAGAAATGAGCTATTAGAATTTAAGTGTAATTTTAGTAGGATTACTGGAGTTTCTTGTGGTATGACTTCTGTATGTCTATAGGTAACTTCATCGTGGATTTCCTAGACGTGTCCAATGTGCCTTTAATAGACGCATTCCAAACTATTTTTGTATTGTTTTTTATAGATTTGTAATATTCTTACTAGGTATACGGAAAAATGAAAAATACCTGATTTGCTCAATATTTACATGGTGTGTGTGTGAAATGAAATGCATAAAATTACCTATTTATGCATTTTGTGTAGATATTAAATTTAAATAAATGATTATGAAATATAAGTTTTTTCATTAATACGAGCCTCCTACACTTACCTTTTCAAGCGAGAATACGATCGCGTTCACTTCGACAATTCGACTTGACAGTTACAGAATAACCTAAGTTAAGATTTTCTTTTCCGTCATAAAAACTTAAATGAATTAATATTATGTTAGTTTAATTAGATATTTATGAAAATATGGTATAGAGTCTGTGGTAATTTACTAACATCTTGAGATGTGGAACCGAAACTATACTTACTTATTGTTGTAGCTCTGTTCTTTATGGAGATAAGCTCTTGAAGCTCTTGGTCATTCGAGAAATAGTACTTACGTATGTACATATATGGGTCGTTCATTAATTATAAAGGAAGCCTATTGTTACATTGTCAATGATGATTACTGGTACTTACATAGTATTAGTAATTACTCGACAAGGCATCTTTTCATGTAATTTTGACATGTAAGGTCCATGGGATTAAACTCCACGGATGACAACATCCGTTGCACTTGTCACCGATTGTTCTTTGTTTTGCAACTTTATTTTACTAAGTATTCATACTAAGACCTTCATACATCTTCATATTCTACATAGACCTTCAGGTCTATCATTAACATCTTCGGCAATTGGAACTGAGACAGTATTAGAAGCAGAAGGTGAAAACCTTCTGCTTTTAAATGAGAAAGTTTCAGACTGGTCCTTTTTATGGCATAAGCCGGTAAACAACCTTAAGGATCACCTGATGGTAGGCAATCGGCGCCCATGGACACCTGGAATACCAGAGGCGCTAAGTACACCTGCGTTACCGACTTTTTGGGATTGGGAATTTGAGGATTATTAGGAATTCAGGAATTGGGGAAGAGGAGTAATTCAGCACAACAGGTTAATTTATTCCTTAAAATAGAGGTAGTATCTTTAAATGCTGTACCTGGTATGATACAGTGCTATTGTAGGCCACAAACAACAAAATTTATGCATTTTCTTGGAGTATGACTTAACTAACACGACAGATTGTAGGTAATATTATTTTATAATCTCTGTCATAATAAACCACCTGAGCGGATGATCTGACATGTGATTAAGGCGAAATGTGTTCAATGGTATACGTAACACAGTCATTAGTTTCCTTTATGTGTTGTCTTCGTTGCGTCATATCATGATGCAATACGCTCAGCCGCTCAGCCTATTTAGAGGAGAGCTCTTGCAGTCAGTAGAATCAGATTGATGCCGTGAGTTCAACTTTGAGTTGAAGAGTTCACAGATGCAACAACAACGACAACGTCAACAGCCTCTCACACGCTTGCACAATGCGGGTTGGCAATCGAATATATGATTAGAAGCTTATAATTAAGCTTAGGTTTCCTCCCGTGGTTTTCCTTCACCATTTGTCAGTGGTGTCTAAATAATCTTAGAAAGTACATATAACTCTGAAACAGTCACATTGGTACTTGCCGTTGGTAGGTCTTGCTTGACCCCGCACTCTCATCCATGAGAATCGGGCGTCTTAAACCAACGGGCCACCACGACTCTGTTCACAGATGGTTATAAGAATATTTTCTTTCATGTAATTCTCTGATGGCAGGTGGCCACGTAAATTTGATGATTAATTATATTGCAAGCGTTTGAAGTGTCCCGTAGCTATATATGTCTGTACCTATTTGGAATTGCAATACCAATAATGGCAGACTCAAATTCTAACCAAGTGCAATAAAAGCGAGGTTGTGTTAAGTTAGTAGGGGTAGCGGCAGTTCTACAAACACTTTTCAATTTATTTATATAAATATTACTGGGATACCTTTTATATTATTCTGTCTCCTGCCGTTTTTATTCGAGCATTCATCATTAAGGCAACTAAGCAATCATGATTTTATAGGCGCCAAGATCAGTTAGATATTTCAATGCATTGCTCTCAGCTCTGAAGTATATAATTTGTTTTTCTAATAAAATTACTAATAATATTTCTTATCTAATCTCTAGCTAAATGAGATATTTGCTGTAGTTTGCTCATTTGAATTAAAGAGTTAATTTAATGATTTCTGTAATTACCTACAAACGTATTTAACCTTAGCTGTGCATTGTGCATCTCTTCCTTATTTAGATAGCAACAGTTAATATGCTTAACACATTGTTAATGTTACGTTAGGTATTTTATTTGCAAACAAAACCAACTTACGACTAACTTAAGGAAGTCTCTAGGCATTGGAAAAGATGGGGGATAATACCAACCATGTTGCAAACTTAGTATGCAGAGCATACAGTTTCAAACTTGAGTGGTTATAGTGATTCAGAATGTCTATTTTGTTTAGAGGCAAGTGAATGGCGCCGACACCATGACGGTGGTGGGATACCGTTAAGATGGGCTTACCGATGGCCTTTCGAATAAGCACAACACTCCGCGGTGCGCGCTCGTGCTTACATCACTATAATATCAAACAACTTTTATTATCTTACTCAAACGAATCGTGAACTTAGACGCGAACACAACGCTTACAAAGAACGTGTGTTTTTTAATGTCCGCGGTTCATACCAATTTTGTGATATCTAATTATTTTAATCTCTCGCGCGTATAAACTGTGTCGGCCGACTGACAGCATTCTGCCGACACGTATTTTAAGTTGGACGTGGGTTTGCTGCAGGCAAAGAGTAAAAGTGCAGTCAGCGAATATTTGAGACGACTTCTTTTGTTGTTAGTAAGTTTCAAAGTGATATAAATCAAAATGGAAGTAGAGTATGGTTCTGACGGGGCTCCATTTGTGACATGGGGCGGTAACAAGATAATGCTGGAACTGGATCCGGCCGTTGACGAAGCCTGTAAAGAAGTGGCGAAGAAAGAATTGAGAGAAACTCCGGAAGTGGTCGAGCAAGCTTTGGCAGAGTTACGACAGCTTTTAAGAAGTAAGTACCTACTAGAATAAAACCAGTAGCTACCTGTGGAGAAAACATAGTAATATAACTCTTTGTTTGTTTTGTTTTAGATGTCATTTATAGGTAATAAGTAATTTATTTTAGGAAATTATACATGTAGTGTAAGTACTTATATCGGAAGATATGATTATGATATATTGATAAAAATTATCTGTATATATATTTCTGTATTTTTGGACTTCGTAATTAACGAATTGGCTAACGTACGATACAGTAATTGTTTTAATGATTAATTGTAATTAATACTTGTATATTTCCAATCGTGTCTATCGAGCACTAGGTCTTTTTATTCTTGTCTCATATTGCAATTAAAGTACTCGTATTTCGTAATTTTCCGTGCCTATTTAGGTGGTAACATCGCACAGTTTGAATCGACTTTATTATAAAAGGAATTGATACTTAAGCATCCAGTCTTAAAAGGTTGGAATGGCATATCGCAGTATCGCTACCATCCTTCTTGAGAATATATACGTATATCTATAACAAAATATGAGTCACATCAAGAGAAATGAGAGTTGTAACAACATAAAAGTGCACGCTACACGCATAAAATGAAAGTGAGCGAAATGCGATTTTAATGTTTTCCCTTTCACATCTTGCGAATGAATTTTTAACTGGCTTCGTGTAAATACAAAATGGGAGCAAAACGGCTGAGAGCAATTCATTAAAAGATATAAAGTAAATATATATAAGTTGTATTAGTACTTAAACATAACATAACATCACGCCTTTTATCCGTGAAGGGGTAGGCAGAGGTGTACACAGAAGTAACACCCACTTTTCACAATTTATGTTATGAGTCCCAAGTAATAGGGAGTGAGCCTATTGTCATATACCGGGCACATTTCCAGACTCCGTGCTACTACTGAGATTTTTTTTAAAACCCAGTAATATTTTGCTCGGCTCGGGAATCGAACCCGAGACCCCTTGCCGCCGGGCAATTGCGACTGCCGAGTCGCACTTGCGGCCACTCGGCCATCAAGGCATTCTTTTTGTATTAGTACTTAAGTAGGTAATATATACCTAGTAACCTAAATATTGTAGGCAAATATCGTTCGGCATTATAATTTTATACTTTACTAGCAGTCCGTCCCGGCTTCGCAAGGGGTAGAAAATTTTTTTTTTTTTTCAAAATGAAATGTAGCCTATGTTACTCGGGGATAATGTAGCTTTCCAGAGGTGAAAGAATTTTTGAAATCGGTCCAGTAGTTTCGGAGCCTATTCATTACAAACAAACAAACAAACAAATCTTTCCTCTTTATAATATTAGTATAGATAGTTACAATAATAACACAGATACTTAATTAAATTTTAACGAATTTTAGATCTTAGATTCATAAAATAAGATAAGTTTGTGCAACAATTGACAATTTAAGTATATTGGATTTGTACACGGAATTGTAGTAATACTTCTAACACTGTAATTAGCCTACATTTCAGGACGTATGTTAGAATATAAAAATTAATAGCTACCCAAATAATAATTAAACAAAGTACAGCAAAATAATTCGAAGATAAATTGTAAAATGTTAGATGTTTTTGGTTAAGTTTCAGCAGAATACCTAAATTCGTGATTTCAAGAATAATTTGTGTAATATTTTGTTTCGATGAAGTGACGTGTCATTTTTGAATTATAACGCTACTCATATAAAATTTTGCTTATTAATGTCAAAATGGAAAAACAAGTTTTGTTAAGAAACCATTGTTGGTCCCCAGTTTTTTGAATGTTAAATATTTTTCGAACCTGAATTTTAAAACATAATCTCGTTTTAGTTATGCTTGCATAGGTAGATACAATCAGGTACCTACCTGAGAGTTTAATGACTATGTATGTATATGTATATGTACCTATACCTACATATATATATATATATATATATATACATATTATAAAAATATTAAATACTCTCAGAAATCCTTACTAATATTATAAATCGGAAAGTGAGTTTGTTTGTTTGTTCCGCTTTCACGCCGTAACTACTAAACAAATTACTTTGAATTTTTGCAGACGTAAAGTTAGAAGTCTGAATTAAATAAAAGGGTACTTTTTATCCCAGAAAAATTTAATATTCTCAAGGGAAAACGAAAGTATTGG